TGTACTTTTTTCGTTTTTTTGCTCGTACTCTTTTCTTCGGGTATTGCTAAAAGACGCGAACAGCCACGAACACCCCCAAATTAAAATCTGAGTTAGCCAATCGATAGAGCTCGTCGAGCTGAGTATAACAACGTCTAACGAACACCCAAAAAACTTTTTATAGTTTCGCTTTTTAAGCATACATTTTGAATGTACAGGTCATGGACCTTTGCTGACTCTCACTTTTCGTGAATAAACTTAAACTTAACTTAAACTTATGAAAAAACCGGAAAGAAAACGTTTGTTTCTTGAAACGATAAAAAAGTACGTTGTGGTCGAAAAAATAATGAGAATTTCGATGAGGCAAAGATGCTTTTTTCTGCAAAGTTTCTGTGGTAAGTCAACAGAAATAATCAAAGTAGTCAAGTGCAGAAGAAATACAATCTTTTTTCGTCTTAATGATGCGTGTTACCTTCTTACGCTGTGTTATTTCTTCAATTAATCAAACGACATATAAAAATGGAATATAGAAAGTTTGATGCAGCAGAGAATTGTCTATCTTTTCGTATATACAGAAAATTTTGGTGGAAAGTGTGGAAAAAATGCATTAATATTTAGTGTAATTATTGCAGTAGAGTGAATTAGATATACACCGAATCTCTTTTGTTTTACTTTTTGTACGTGATGCGGGAGTTAACATGCTTGAATAGTTACGTCAGTCGTACATAACTGGACATTAGCGTTGTTGGATTGATTGTTTACGGAGTATCATTCATTAAAAACAAGATGGGTTAGAATATTAAATGGCGATTCAAAGTCGACCTATTCATTAGCATCACTTTCAGATTCACATCGAGCACGTGTATGTCATGTCATTTTGGTTTTTATGTAAAAAAATTTTGTTTATTTAGAAAATATTTGAAGAAACCTGTTGTCAATATCGTTAGGAGAATGAAAAATGGCATAAATGGTCGGTGAAAATAGAGGGTTATATGGACGACAATTTAGTTGTTAAGAGAAAAGTTAATAGAGACCTTACTATAATGACACTTGAACGATAGGTATTTTCTAGATAAGTATAACCATCTACTGTTCAATCGCAAGCATTACCGGATGAAAAATCGCGTGTAGCATTTCAACGACTATTTCTGCTTGGTTTATTTGATATTTTTTGTCCATTACTCTCAAGCAAGAAGATATCCTGAAGTACTAAAAAATTTTACCTCCGAATTTCAAATATATGTATATTCAAGCATTGAAACCTATGCTACAACTTAGTTTTAAAACTCTTTTAGGTATATCCAAAGTTACGGTCTGTTTGAGATATCAGAAGCGATGGACGGGGAAGCCGATGATTGTGCACTGCTTCTTTGACTTGTAAGGTTTTTTCTCTTCTCATTCAACTCTGCACGTTTCACTCGAATGAAAAAATGAATTTTTTTGAGCAGTTCCGTGTCTTTCTCTCTTTAAGTGACACTGGTCTTTTTTGGTTTTCTTACTTTGTCCAATAATTGCAAGATTACATCTTTCTTCCTTTGTTAATGTGTCTAAAATACATTATCTAATTAAATTCTGATAACTACCGATACTATTTTCTTGTTTTTTTAGAAAGCTCGTTGTTCTAATATGTTAAACTTATTTTCTCGTATATTGTCCGTCAACAAGACCTTTGCTTTGCGGCAAAAACCGCTAGGTGCAACATTGATAACTTCTCCAGAAGTGATTAAAAACAATAAAATAGTAGTTAATGATGTACTGGTAAGATTTATTGACATTATGGAGTTTTTCGAAAAACTTTTCAATCGAAAGTTTGAGATTATATATGGATTACCGGTTCCCATGGAAGAAGGAACTTACGAATATTGTTCGTGGTATTTATCGATCAATAGATTCAGGTGATCGAACACCTAGCCACGGGGGCCGATGTTCATGCCTTGTGAGAAGTGATCCAACAATATTGTTTATTAAATCCGAAAATCCAAAAGATATTTGCATGAAGAGGCCAGATATCGCTATTTTCTCTGGACACGATCCTCATGATACATATCAAAGAACCATCAAGAGAAAACCGCATACGATATTTAAGGTAACATCACCCTCGAATGCAGACAAAGATTTGGTCGACAATATCAATATTTATTTTTTTGATAAACAAATTAATGATTACATCATTGTGGATGTTCGCGAAAATGTCCGACAGATAATACATTATCAATTCAGCAAACATAATAAAACCGTTTATCCACTTCATGCAGCTGTACAACTCGGCTGCGGTTGCAATATAGCCGTTTGGGTATTCCTTTAGCAGGTGCTCCCCCAAAAACGTGGTGACATTAAAACTGGTGCTCCCCATACATATTCGGTGTTCCCCCACGAAACCGAAAAGAGTGCGGTAACATTATAGCTGGTGCTCCCCATATGTGTTTAATGTTCCCCTTAGTAACATTAAAGATGGTGCTCCCGATACGTATTTAGTGTTCCCCTATATTGAAAAAATTCAGTAAGGTTATGTTTATGTGCAAATCAGTTAAGTAAAAGAAAAATACCTTTTTTGCTTTTACCGATTCCTTGGACAGAGCCAACTCAAAACTTAGTGTTGCGTCTATTTTAGAAATTATATGGTTATGGTGTTTTAATATAACATCGAAGACAATATCATGGACCGTCGGATGTCCAGAAGCAACTACCGTTGACTTGAGCAATTTTTTAAGAGAAGTAAGTCCATATTGTCGGGTCTATGCTATATAGGGTAATAACGATTGTTCATTCTTTAAGGTTTGCACAGAAAAACTGAACGTGGCTGAACAAATGGGTATTGGTGAAGTGGTGCAGATTGATGAATCACTGTTTCGGGGTAAACGTAAGTATAATCGTGGAAGGAACATAGGGGAACACTAAATACGTACGATGGATGAAACGTGTAATTACAAAACATGTAAATTACATTTTCCTTAAAGTTTTTTTGAACTCTTGCAGAACTATGATGCATCTAAGTCTGCCCCAACTGTATTGTATTTCGTAACTCTTTCTTTGTGTATTAAAGCGAAACTATAAGCAGATATGCCCATTCTTGTATCTTACGTGTGCCTGAGACAAATTCGCAAAACGAGACAAAGATCAAGAATTTAGCCGCTGTGCTTTTTAAAAAAAACATCCTGAAATCGCCGAACTCATCACAAAGTTTATACTTGTTATATTATACGGCTTATTATTAGTTTTATATCCTGCAAGAAAAACGACGAAAAAAACTTTTGTGTACAAATCGGTTTCATTCGATTCGGTACAAACATTTTCGAAACAAAATTCGACTTGATCCGGTTCGGAACAATTATTTGAATCCATTCATCATCATTCTCTTACTGGAAGGAAGGATTCCAAGAAAAAAAATGTCTCCTGGTTAAGCCCGTTAGAAAAAAATTAAATTTGAAAATTCATCCACCAAGTGGGACAGTCATTCGTTAGAAGCAGTCCCTACAAAAAAATATTTTATCGGCACTGGTTGTGCACGGGTGCGCACCGGTGCCGAATCATTTTTTTTCTGGGCACCGATGCGCATCGGTGCCAGAAAGAATGTAAAAATCTCGCACCGATGCGCACCGGTGCCGAAGTTTTGTTTTCAATCACCATTTTGTTTTGTCAATTTCTATCTATATTAACGCTACGGTCTACTTCTAATATTTCGAATGTCTTTCTGACTTCATTTTTTCCTTCTCATAAGAGAAGTGCCGAGCAATGCCGCATGGTTTTGGCATGTCGATGTGGTACTGATCAGTGCCGCACTCTAACACAAAATTCATCATAAATGACCATAATAAAGAACTAATTAAATTGACTAAATAAATTATCAGTGCGGCACCGATTTTTGCCAGTACGGCACTGATTTTTAGCAGTGCGGCACTCTTTCAGCAGAAATATATCGGCACCGGTGCGCACGGGTGCCAATCGGCACCTGCTGGCACGGGTGCGCATCGGTGCCAGCCAGTGCCAATGACCGATGGCATGCCATGCGCACCGGTGCGCACTGGAATATTTTTTATAGGGGTTGATTACTTATCATCCACTTAGTCACTTCTGCCAGTATATGGCTGTAGTTTCTGTTTGATCATTAGTCACCCAATAGAAGAATAGAACAATCATGTCGCTCATTAACAGAAAGAAAAGATTTATTTACACATGAAATAGGTTCGGCAAAAGAATAACTTAATGTAATATATTTGCAGAACTCGAACAGAGATTTTTGCGGAAATTGTGGCTCAAGGTTTTAGAAAAAAACGCCTATTTCTTTAACACGAAATATACTAGGCGAATAAGTTCTAAATAGGATTTGATTATGAGCGCTTTTGTTTTGCGATCTTTATACATGGCTAGATAGGGCTCGACGAGCTGAATAAGAACATATCTGATTTAAAGTTTCAAAACACTTATTTTGAGGTTCAAAATTTGAAAAAGTGAAAAGTTTGGATTTCTAAGGCATATTAGATAAAAGACCTCGGCTCACGATTACATCTCGGAATTTTGATAAAGTTATTGTTATTGTTGTCTTTTGCAAAAAGGTGTTCTGGTTTTAAAAAAATCTGTCTCGAAAGATTTATATGCCGTTCTAACTACGATATTCTTAATCGGCACTATCAATTATATATATCTAAAGAAACCTCCGAATGGATACTTGATGTTACTTTATCTTTGTCTACTTTACTTCTTTTCAACTTCTTTGAATGTGATCATTATAAAGTAATTCATAGTGGTCTTGTTAAGTTGTTAGAGAATACTGGACGTTTTGACCTCTCTTTTCTCTTTCTTTTCCTCGTTTTTTCCTTTATCCGTTTTTTGTTTTCTGTTTTTTCTGTTATTTAATCGTCCTTATTTAACCCTGATACGCCCACCTATAGGACTATCAGGTGGACACTTGTTTCCCACCTGGGGTTCGTCCGGACCCCAAGTTGATAAAACAGGTTTAAAAATCACTGTTAAGATATGGAACATTTTTAATAACATATTCGGATTCAGCCTCGAATGATGAATATTTTCAAAAAAAAAACCAAATCTCCAGCATAAAATTTGTATTTTGAAATTTAATTTGAAATTTGAAAATTTAACTATTTTGAAAAGTAAAATATCTCAACTCAGGTAAGCGTTGCAGACTTCGGACAAACGTC